CTTCGTCAAGACCCTGAATGAACAAAAAAGAGAATATATAATGTTCAAAAAGAAATGAAGGGAAGGAATAGAATACAATCCACCATACAGTGTAAGATAATGGAAATATCTTAGGTTTATTTGTCAGGGTTTGTGTTGTTGTTTTGCTTTGTTTTGGGGGTTCTTTTAGGGTTTTTTGGGAGGAGGAACACCTGGTAGTGCTCACGGCTTAAGCTGACTCTATATACTCAGTGATCACTCTTGGTAGGCTCAGGGGACCTTATGACATCCCAGGAATCGTACTCGGGTTGGATCAGTAGTATGCAAGGCAGATGATCTACCCTCTGTACTATTGCTCTGGTGTGACAATGGAAATATCTTAAATACGAAGATACATTACTGCAGAGACTATTTTTAGATCTGTAATAAATATCAGATGTGCAAATTATGTTAAGGAGATAAAATCAGATCAGTTATATACATTATATACCTCATACATTTTAATGTTCTAAAATTATATAAAATCTCTGTATAGTATAGACTTCATTATTTTCTGAATTTTTCCTTTTTCACTCAATATGTGAGATGTTGTGAAGTAGCTTATTAGCAAATAAATATTGTGAAATAGCTATTGGCTGTAAATTTTATTTCTGCTGAATTGCCTCATATGGTAAAATTCTATACAATATTTCTTTAACTTTCTATAATATGGAAGAATAATTTAATATTCTAAGAATGAATCTGTCATAGAAAATAGTTATCCTTGTAAGGATACAAATATTTATGTTTATATGTTGTTTCTCAGTGAGGAAAATATAAAATAAATCTCTTAACCACTGAAGAATGGGGGTGAAAGATTGTAAAAGTATAAAGAGGTAAATGCTTTTTACTTATTAATTATCCAATTAAAATCTTAAAATTAATAATGTGCTCTCAATGGCTGAATTTCAGCCTTATTATAAAATGGTGTCACAAATATACTGAAGAATACATATTGAAGGATCCACATGTGCTCTCTGAAAACTGGTCCACTAGTCCACTAAGCCACATATCTTGACCAACATAAAGTTGCAAAATAAAAGCATTCAAGGGGAAGGAGAAGTGATGGAAGGAACTGGAATTCTTGAGTGTGTAGTTAAATTTTTTCGGCTGTATATGATGTTTCCGCTCTTCACTGGCAAGAAATACACAAGTGGGCAAAAAATGTAATGTAGTCCTTAAAGTACAAGATATCATGCTGTTAAGAACCCAAACTAAGACCCACACTGAAGAAAGTTGTGAGGCAAGGAAGCGGGATGATAATGATTACTCTGCTCCATCCCGCTGGTAGGCTGATGGAATGAGAACTATCTGTCCTTTTCCTGTGGCTTGAACATGTCATTACCATGTGACAAGGAGCATCTCTGAGAAAAGTTCACATTTCTGAGAGCAAAATATCCAATTCAGGCTAGCTGGGTTTTGTGACTGCCCTAGTCTTCCCTACATCTACTATGATTCTCTCTCAATTTTGACAAAGAGACAACTGATAACAAATAAGTAAACTGGCAACTGATAACTGCTCAGTCACCTGATTTATGTTTCCTTCCCTCCTTGTTTTCTACCCCTACTAGTTGACACTGTCAAACTCTTTACTCCTTGGCATTTTGCCCTCATTGTGATGATGCATTACCTACTGTGTGCAAGACAAATCTAAAATAATCTCGAAATGTATCATTATCTCTGAGTGTCAAACATTAGGAAAAACAGGTTTCTGGCACTCTCAGGTTTACCTCAGAGTTCTAGATCACACAACCCACATATTAACAAAACAGGATCTTCCGATTCTACCTCTTAATTGACACCTCTCTGTTTCTTGATCTTAACTTTGAAAAAAAGACAAACAACAAAACAATATTTTATTTGGCATAAGCAACACTGTCTCTCTGGATCATTTGAAAGGAGTTCTAAACAAGAAGGGACAATGGCCAAGCATTTTCCTACCAGATTGCAAGGCAACTGGTAAAAAAGATTGGTGGGAGAGTTTTCAAAGTTTTCAAAGTACGTGTTTCTTCCTTGGTTCTTGTGCTAATGAAAAACACAAACGTGTTCATGATTTTCATGGTTCTCAAGCTCCATCCCAAAATACATCTTTCCATTATTTTGTAAAAAGTTGTAGAATTCATCTGTCTAGAATAACTTTTGCTTTTCTCATTTTTTGTAGGAATCAGGAAGTTATAGGCTGATATTTATATACTAGAACTAGTTAAATATTTTTAAAGCACGACTAAGCCAATATTTAAATATGTCAATATTTAAAAGTATACAGAAATTCCTGCAAATATTTATTGGGATAAAGAATCTACCAACACCTGCCCATCTCACTGACTCCTAAGTTGAGTATCTAAGAGATACACAATTCTAAAGTGGCTTAAAGTTTTACAAGGGCATTTCTTGCATCTGAAGCTTTCCAGTTTACACAAGCACAACACTTATTTTCTTAAATTGTCCAAATAATGGCAGGATTCATTTATAACAAATCTGACATTTCAAAAGAATAGTAGTCTGCCTTACATTCAAAGTAGCTGGAAACTAATATCTTATAATTGTTCATTGACGTGTGTTTAGCAATTTGTATTTTTAAAGGACGGTTTCTAGGAGTAAGTAAGAAGTATTACTTCACTCAAAATTTATACATTCTTTGGATTAAAGAAAGCTGCTGTAAGATAATACGATTTAATAAGAAAAATGCAAACTCATTCAGTTAATTTTAACTTAACTTTAACTTAAATGTGTAGGTACAGAAATAGGGAGCAGATAATGCGTTCTAGTCCCTAAAACATCATTTATATTGGGCAGCAGTACTCAATTATGAATTCACAATAAAGTGCATTTACATGTGTTTAAAGACTATACACTTAATTCTTCATTTTCTTTGATATTCTACTCACTTTTCTAGTTTTTTGAATGCTGATTATTTCCAAAGAATTGAGATAAATTTAAATGAATAAAATCAATCACAGAGAGGTTGGCAATCAAAGAAATGAGTCTTTCATACCTTTTTTTTAGTGTTATACGAAATAATAAAAAAATTCTGTATATTGCAATTAATTTCAGGGCAATCAGTGTTAGGGAATAGTTTTTCCCCAAGGTGCCCAGGTACGTTGCGCACTGGATCCGGGCAAATGTGGGGCATAGGATGACGGACGATGGAGAAACACCTCCCAGGAGCAGCTGATGGCTGTTCACTTTATTGCGAAATATATACATATTTTATAAAGGGTTTCAGCTTACAGGAAGGACCAATCACATAAAGTTTAGCATTATTGGCTTATTTTCTTCCCTACTCTGCTTTGCCCCGATCCGATCCCATTCGAGGCTAGATGCTGTGTTAGGATGACTTGCTGAGGGTACCTGACAGTTTCTGTAACTTGAAACTGTCCTCTGAGTCTCTGAGTCTTGGAGGAAGGGAGTATCTGGGCAAAGTTGGCAAGAACAGGGTGTCAGCACCAGGTGTCTGGCCTTGAGCCTCACTCAACCACCCTTAGTCACCTTACAGAAACTGTCATGTACACTTGGGTGCAATAAAACTCAGCTCCTGGAAGCATGCAGCTACATTCGCGGCCGTGCAACATCTTATTATCTCATTCCTACCTTGGACAAACTGGCAGGCTACCAAATGTAACCTGCCCACACGGCAGAGTCTGGAAAACTCCCCGTGGTGTACCCAATATGCCAAATACCAGTAACAATGATGGGTCTCATTCTCCTAACTCTGAAAGAGCCTTGAATATGGCACTTTTTAAAAAATCTCAGGGCTAGGACGAAGGAGACGTTCCTGGGTCCTGCTCGAGGCAATCGACAAATAACAGGATGGTTGTGATGTGACTCCCTTCCTCAGGGTCTCGCTTCAGGACCACTCTGAAAGGTCAAGTCTTATCTGCTCCAATGCCCTTCACCTTGCTCCAGAAATTGTCACATGGTAAAGAGAGAATCATTGTCACTTCTCCGTTATCTAGGAAAGGGCTCTTACTACTTGTGCTCTATGCAGTCTCAGTGAGTGACATGAACAGACTGCTAGGAAGTGACAGGAATGGTTTGAGGAAGCTGCAAGATACAGATAAGTTGTTTTCCAATGGACTCATGCCTAAACTGTGCCATGCCCATTCAAGTACATTAGTTTAGCCTGGTGTTCTTTAGAGCTCCAGAGGGTAGCAGATACTGATTTATCTTACATATAAATACAATCTCAGTCTGATTAAATAGATGGCCTAAATTAGAGATTGTTGAGCAGGAATTTAAACCTAAAGATGATGGAAATTCTTGCACTGCACTGCGCTGTCCTCCCGTTGTTCATCGATTTGCTCGAGCAGGCCTAGTAACGTTTCCATTGTGAGACTTCTTGTTACTGTGTTTGCATATCGAATACGCCAAGGGTAGCTTGCCAGGCTTTGCCCTGTGGGTGAGATACTCTCAGTAGCTTGCCAGGTTCTCCAAGAGGGGTGGAGGAATCGAACACAGCTCGGAAAATACCTGGAAAAAAAAAACATGCTTCTGTCGTTACAATAACTCCTCCAGGTAATCCAGGACAGATGCCGGGAGAAAGCAACATATAGTTATGGGTCCAGGTGAAAAGATTCTTTTTTGAAGAAAGGAGGGGAAATTGGGTTGATGACTAAGTCACAATAGATCATAGTCACTTGTGAATACTATTTCTGAAATTCTTAGTTCGTATTTTACTGTCAAGAATTTGCTCTGAAGGTATTATAGAATTAAGAAAATCTGAAAGAAGAAAAAAATGCCTTGTGAATCGAAATGAGAAAAGGCACATCTCATATTGATTTGTCACTCTTGGAATCTCATTAGCGATCAGATGGAACTTGATGACAGGCAACAAATAAACGGCATTTTCCACCATTCCAAGCTGCAGAAGTGCCCAAAGCTACCAAATACAGATTAGAACCACAATGCGCACAGTGTTCCTGAGGGAGGGGTGAAAAAAATGAGCTCCATATACAAGAATGTTTTGCTCTCTTTTCCTTTAGGCTGTTAAAGGATGCGCAGAATGAAGCTTATTTTAAAAGCTGGTATCAGAAGTTGTTGGCTGCTCTCCAATTCTGTGCCGGAAGAGCCCTAAGTGATGAGTTTTCCAAGGAGAAGAAACTTATCAAAGTCCTGGGAGATATTGGGGCAAAAGTCAAGTGTGCCAGTGAACCGCAGAGACAGGTTTGTTGAGAAACTAGTTTTTATGTTCTAAAGGTTCCCCCCCAAAAAATCTTCAATTAAATTTCATAGTTTAGAAAGCAAATTCCTTGACTACAGTTAGTCATGCGGTACTTAAGTCAATTACTTTTAAAAAGATATTTTGTTTGACTTAATCATAAACTTAATAATAGTGGCTACCATAGGAATGTGATTGTGGGTTTTCCTTTTCTTTTTTTCTTTAGGGGGAAGGTTTTGGTCACAATAGGTGATATTTGGTGCTCAGTAGACATTGTTGGCAGTGCTCAAGCCCATATATGGTACAGGGTATCAACCCATCGTCAGCTCTGTAAAAAGCTAACACCTTCACCCTGGGTTATTTCTGCATCATGGGACATGGTTTTATATCTCAGTCACCACGTAGCATACAGAAAATAAGTGACAAGATGAAAAGCTTGAAGGCAATTTGACTTTAGGTCAGGAGAAGTAATCCAAAAAAGGGCAACAGAAAACAGTATTCTGGGAGAAAGTTAAAGGGAAATTTTAGGATTGCAATGTTCACATTTATCTCCAGATTTTTCTAATAGTGCACCAATAAAAAATTACATTTTTATTGGTTTAAAATTTATTGGTTTAAAATTTTATCAATAATGGACTCATACATAATTCGAACATCACACGAAACTTAATTAAAGATAGAAAAATAAGGTGAGAGAGGGGATTAAGAGGTGAAGGAGGAAGAGGAGGAGGAGAAGGAATAATTAAAGGAAATTATAGTGTCATATAATACTTTGACAAGATCTATAGTTACAACATAGAGTCTCTTTTATTGCTGATTTTAATAATGGATTTGACTATTCCTTTTATTGATCCCAATGAAAGAGCATTTTTTCTTTTATCTGCCATTCTAGTTTCTTCTTCTGGTATAAGCAAGTTCTCTTAATTTTAGCAGTCTAATGCAAGGAGAAAGTGGTAGACTTTTATTGTACATGAGCATCATTCAGTATCTTGGGGTGCTAACTACTGAACAGGAGGTTGAGATAACAAAGTGACTAAACCACAAACCTTGCTTTCAAAGAAATCATGGTTTCTCTCCATCCACTAGTTAAAATCAACAAGGGATTTCAGCAAAATGATGTAAGAATAGTAACAAGCATCCCAGAATTCTTGTCCAGTCCATTGTTTTCCTTGCTGGAAATCACTTCATTTAGTGAAATGTGACGAACTATCCTGCTTGAACACCTAATGGAACCTTGGAAATAAAAAAGCACTAACTGTGTTTATTTTTAAATGGGAGAAACATTTAAAAGATTTATAGATTTCAGATATACAGAAAAGCCCAGGGGCATGGAACATGATGGGTCATAGAAAATTCTTCATATTACCGTAAGCTTATTAATTATGTTCTAGTAGTGTTCAAAATGTTTATAACAAATAAAATAAATTTATAAGTATAGGCCTTATGTTGTGGGGGAGGGGTTCTCTCAAGCAGTGCTCAGGAAGTCCCCTGGCCCCACCAGTGATTCTCTGTCAATAGGGCAGAGGTTCAGGTGAGAATCTGAGGATGTGGCCGGTGGTGCCAGGAATAGCCAGGGATAGTGCTGGGACCCTCCCAGGAAGGTTCTTGGGCTGCACCCAGCAATGTTGAAGGGTCCCAGATGGTTCCTGAAATTGAACCAGAAATCAATAGGGTAGCACGCTCCCTAACCATTGGGCTATCTCCAGACCTCACACATAGGTTTGTAAATCCTTTAGCAGTTTGAGCAGCATAAAACTATTGCTCAAAAATTCTGGGACCTAGGGCTAGAGAGATAGCTCAGCGGGTAGGGCATTTGCCTTGCACATGGCCAACCCAGGTTCAATTCCCAGCATCTCTGAGTACCGCCAGGAGTAATTCCTGAGTGCAGAGCCAGGAGTAATCCCTGTGCATCACTGGGTGTGATCCAAAAAGGAAAAAAAAGAAAACCTTCTGGGACCTGCCCGGCCATCTGAATCTTCACAAATTTCCTGTTCATGGCTCCTATTTATGATGAACATGTACTCACGTGAAAACAGGAAGAGAAAAAGAGATGGGAAAATTATAAATCATTTTTTTCAGGGGGCGCATACCCAGGGGTGCACTGATCTTTCTTCTGGCTCTTTGTTCAGGGATCAGTCCTGCAGACTCAGGGGAACATATTGAGGGCCAGGGATTGAACTCAGTTCAGCTGCATTGCAAGGCAAGTGCATTGCCCATTGTACTATCTCTCTGGCATCTGAGCTTTGTGTTCCTCTAGTTGTGGCGTTCACACATGCTTGTCAGCAGTCACACTTCAAGGCTGTGATGATTGCATGTCTTTGTAATTGTGGTGCTCACCCAGAGTCATGTGGTTTCTGTGATTCTCACACACACTTGGCTTTGTTGCATCTGGCACTGGGAATCATGAGGACAGAGTTGCTGGGGGCTGTGTTCAGTATAGGTGGGACATGGAGGGGAATTAACGCATGGCCGGATCCTGGCAAGGAAGTTGCTAGGAGCCTGAGCTAGTCCTCCAAGTCCCATTTCATGCTTAGCATTGGGCTTATAGAGTTGTCAAGGGCCTAGGCAGATTGTGATAAATCACATGCCAAGTTTGATCCCATGTATCACATATGATTTTCTGAGTAGCACCCCGGGAGTGATTCCTAAGTACAGATTCGGGAGTGGGCCCTGAGCTTTATCACGTGTGACCAAAAAACCAAACAAACAGAAAGTTTTCAAAGGTGGAATAAAGGAGATTTTGCATGTGTAATGAATTATTATTGTTCCCCCATTCCTTGAGGCTGGCTGAGCTTCCATACAGAAAGCGAGAGGGGAGTGATGAGTCAGTTCTCAAAAAAACACGCATGCTATTTGTTCATATATGTTATTGTTTCTGACAGCATCCATTTTTTTTTTCTCATTACTGCACTAATAGCACAGCAGGTAGGACCTTTGCCTTGCATGAGGCAGACCCGGGTTTGATTCCTCCGCCCCTCTCAGAGAGCCCAGCAAGCTACCAAGAGTATCCCGCCTGCATGGCCGAGTCTGGCAAGCTACCCATGGCATATTCCATATACCAAAAACAGTAACAAAAAGTCTCACAATGGAGATGTTACTGGTGCCTGCGCAAACAAACCAATGAACAATGGGAGGACGGTGCTACAGTGCTATTGCACTAATATACCTTAAAATTTACTTTTGCTCCTGTGTCAACCTTGAAAGCTGTCAACTAAAGGTTTATGGGAATTATCAGAAACGGTATTAAAAATCACTCAAAGCAAAGATTGCAAATTGGTGGGGCCATGGGTCAAGTCCACACCATCACCTGGAGTTAGAACAGTGTCAGGGTTTGCTTTGATTTTGTTTTTAATTGAATCTGAAGTCCTTTCGAAAGGGCATGAACTCCTTCTTTCTTCATTTCCCCCAACAATCCCTATTGTCTTTACCTGCTCGCTCTTCATACGGCTATCTCGCCTGTCTGACCTCAGACCCTCCAGTCCGCGGCCCTTGAATTAAAGAGTTGATTTAATCAATAGGAGAAAATGAAAAGTTGAAGGAAAAGTCAAGTTCTTTGTATGTTTCTCAGATACCTTTTTGCGTGCTTTTCCACAGGAGGTACTGCAGGAAGAACTTGGAAAACTAGAAGAATTTTTTCATTCTATCGACACTTGCCACTTGCCTTTGAACCCTGCCCTGTGCATCAGGGGGATTGATCGTGATGTAAGTGAATTATTCAGTGCATAAGCTGAGTGTTTTCCTTTGAATTTTTTAGTTCGTTGCATGTTTGTAAAATGGCAAAAATAATATATAAATGACTGTTTAAGCTATTTTAGGAAAAAAAATAACTCATCCAAACTATACAAGGTGCTCTAGTTAGTGCATGTGACCAACTGGCATTGAACTGTCCTCCTCTCAAGATTTCCTGGTTTAGAAACAAACTGTCCATAAGTTGAGTGAAAAATACTTTTCCCGGTGAGCTCAGTTCTTAATTTATCTTTAAAAATGGTTGATTTCGTGACCTCATGCAGCCTAGAGTAAATTTCATGCTTATTTGGATTATTTGCATCCCTGAGTCGCTTACACTACCATGGCATTTGCATGTCTGCATTGGTCCCATCTAAAATCCTGTCACCTCCAGGTGTTACTGAAGTCTTATGGCTGTCCTCACACCTTAAAACCCTTCCTGGCATGTCAGCCCCACAGTAAACTTTTTTTTCCTCTTCATGTGCCTTTGTCACCCTCTCAGACTTGCTCTTTCTTTTTCTCTTCTACTTGAATTTTATTATCCTCCATGGTGAAAGTGGAGTGGATAGGGCACTTATCTTGCACACAACTGACCTGGGTTCAATTGCTGGCACCTAATATTGTCCCCTTAGCCTGCTAGGAGTTGACCCCTATGCACAGAGCCAGGAATAAGCCCTGAGCACTGCTGGGAGTGGCCTCCCAACAAAAGAAAAACACTGATGAAAAATTAAAAGTAAATATCTCGGGGCTGGAACCATAGCACAGCGGGTAGGGCATTTGCCTTGCACGCGTTTGACCCAGTTTCGATTCCCAGTATCCCATATGGTTCCTTGAGTACTGCCAGGAGTAATTCCTGAGTGCATGAGCCAGGAGTAATCCCTGTGCAATGCCAGGTGTGACCCAAAAGCAAAATTAATAATGATAATTTTTAAAAAAGTAAAATATCTCCTCACAAGCTTCAAATTCAGCTCATCTTCAAAAGATTACCCACTCAAAGGTATCATTTAGTTGATAAATTTCCTTTTAACTTCACAAAATCAAATCACAAATCATCCTGTTATTCGTCGATTGCCTTGAGCAGGCCCCAGTAACGTCTCCTTCATCCTAGCCCTGAAATTATATTCAAGGCTCTTTGGGAGAATGAAACCCATCATTGTTACTGGTATTTGGTATATTGGGTACGCCACGGGGAGTTTGCCAAACTCTGCCGTGTGGGCAGGCTACATACGGTAGCCTGCCAGTTTGTCCAAAGTAGGAATGAGATAATAAGATGTGGCTCCGGCGAGGACAGCCAAGCGCGGGGGCAGGAGACTGCACTGTTCTCTTCCGGGAGCTGGTTTTTATAGTCTCTGAGTCTTGGTCGCGGATGGGATTACACAGCGCCAGGAGACCAGTTGGTGGGTGTGACCCCTGCCTACTGGAATTTGGAGGATGTGGGTGGAGGATGCTCGACCCCAATCCGAGTAGGCTTGGAGATCTCGGCCCCGAAACCCGCATGGCTTTGTCCCTCTGCCAGTACCTTCATGTGTGCGGAGAGTGGTCTCAGCATGGTGGTGGCTGGTCCTGGAGGGAGGTCTTCAGCTGCCGTAGCCCTGGTCGGGGCGGGGAGGAAAGCTCAACCCGCTCCCCTCCAAGGGGCTCTGGTGAGGACAGCCAGGCACAGGGGTAGGAGACTGTAACTTATGTCCATTTATATGCAATCATACTAGCCTTTCCCTTTTGTTGCTTCCTTGATTTAGGGTGCCTCAAAAGCACCCCTTAAAATTAGATGAGCAGAGTATAGCACTGACGTAGACTCATTTCTCAGCCTAGTAGCAGATTTCTTTATTCAATAGAATGACTGAGGGTTATGTGTTTCCTGATTTACTGCTAACTGCAGCAAGAATTCATTACTTAACAAGCAACCTCACCCGTTTACCATAAAACTCAAATTGATTCAGTAAGCAAAGGTTTCTGTTTCCTTACAGATTAGATTAGATTTATGCTGATAGGTTACAAAATAGATTCTTTCCTCTCAACCTCAACTTACTCAGACTTCTTAGAATTAATGATATCAAAACTGATTGTTCAATATATATTGATGTCATATTTTACTAAGTTGATAAATTGAAAGTATCAAGTCTTTTTTCTTTCCTTTTGTATTGACTTAGCTCTAACTCACCAGTATGTACTTTCTGAAATCTAAAGACATGCACGTTTTTAACATCAAAATAATTATAAAGGTAAAAAAGGGGTGGGATGGAAATATGTTGGAAGTATGTTGTAAATTCGAAGTATGTTGTAAAGCTAAAATCAGAAATGCAAGGTGTAATTGAAAGACAGAAGAGGAAATAAATGTCATAGTGTTATGCATAAATGTAAGAAAATTCATTAACAAAAAGGAACACACTAAATTTAAAAAGTTTCTGCTAACAGCCAGGCATTTTCAAAGGTAATGCGTATATACATTAGTTCATTTATATATTATAAAAATGTGTGAGGCATGGGTTGTTATCTCATTTGGTATAGAATGGAGATATTTAAAAGTTGATGTTTTATAGGTAATAATTTATAAAGAACAGTACATCATTATATGTGCAAGATTTAAATTAAGTAGTGTGTATGTATTGTACCAATTCTAGTAAACTTCTAGGAAGAAGAAGCTGCTAAAATTTCAGGGCTGGGAGAAATAGAGATGTTACTGGCTCCTGCTCGAGTAATTCGACGAACAACGGCATGACAGTGATACAGTGATACAGTGAATTTAGTAGTACAAATTTGAGCTCAGATCTTTCTTAAATTAATGTCCATGCTCCCTTAAGGCATGGTGACAAAAGGCAGAAATGATTTGAAAATAAGTAAAATATTTTAAATTACAATTTTTCTTTCACTTATGAGTTAACTAGAATTGGTACAATACCTACACACTACTTAATTTGAATCTTGCACATATAATGATGTCCTGTTCTTTGAGAATAGATTTAAAGATTTTCAATCTACCAAAAAAGATAGCATATTAGTTTACACAGTAAAAGCTTTGGTTGGCAGACTAAAGTCTTTTTAATAAATAGTTTTCTTTATTTCAAAGTATAAAAATTTTTAATATGTATCACTGTTGCTCAAGGGACTATGGTGTCAAGAAAATTGTTCGCTTATATTTATCAATTTTTGATCACTGTTTTTCTTTTCTATTATAGGCATGTTCGTATTTCACATCTAATGCTGTGCCATTGAAGATCACTTTCACCAATGTTAATCCCATGGGCAAAAACATCAGCATTATTTTTAAGGTGCAACAGCCTTCCTAACATGTCAAACTGGGAAGAACTACTGATGTATATTATTCACAAAAGGAAATTATTGCTGCTGTTTTCCTCTGGCATCAACATAATTTTCATTCTGAATTTTTACAGAATTATATAGTGCATGTCAAACTATGATTAGCAACAAATCCAACATAACAGACTAAAGCCAGTGTATATTTTAATCAATGAAACTATACAATTACTTTTGAGGTGCACTGAAAGTGGGACAGGTCAGGAAGGGGATAATCTCATCCTTGGAATGAGAGTTTTCTGTTGACCTAGATATAAACGTAATCTAAATTAGTTTAAATGGGAGGACACATGTTAGTTTAACAAAAACAATCACATCAGCAATGACGTAGCTTGTTTGAGCAATTTGGGTTGCTTTTTTCTTCTTAAATGGAAGTAGATACATGGTCCATTTCAGTTTTTTTCATAATAAATCACATGAGAAAATATAGTCAAAAGAAGTCATAGAGAGACTAAAGAATGAGCAGTAAGTAAAGAATAGAGACTTGCCAATCACCCAGTTAATTCAATCCGTCAATAATTCAATTTATGCAACAAAATCTGAGATCGAATGTTAGTGAATTCTGGATCTTTTTGAAGATGCTGATTAGCATGCCTGTACTTTTGCTTTGCCCTCTGAAATCTCATGCCTTAGTTGTCCCATCATACTGCAGTTTTGGTGAAGAAAAATTCTACAGAATCTTGTGTTTACAGAATATCTGTATATAATTTAGAAAACATTTGCAAAGCCACAGTGCTCATTACAGGCATAAAACTACTCATTTTAGGTGTTCCATTTTCTTCACCTGTGCTAGAAAACTACCCCTTTATTATTTCTTATATCAAAGCCCAATTTGTCCAGAAAAAATTGTAACTGCCTTCATAATAAGGAAAGTCAATGATCCAAAATATGTTGTCGCATGTATGCTATTTATATACAAGAAATCCTTGTTCTTCTATTCATACACCAAATATATAACTAATAAAGCATGTGCGTTCATGGCTTCCAAATAATGTTTTGTTTAGAAAGATATCTCTCTTGGCTATGTTTGAAATTTGTATAAAAATGTTCCTTAGCCTTTCATCACTAGCTTTGAACCTAAGGCATTACCTACAAACAACAGATATAAAGATTATCATCGAGAGCATTGTAAGTAGCTCTAACTCGATGGCTGGTGCTTCCGTAATCATTTAAAGAAAAGTTCTCATTTTCTTTGATCTGCTATTAGGAACTCTAGGTACTCAGTGCTAATAAAACAACTGAAACTGCTCTGTCATGCTGGAAATTTATTCAAGAAAAAGTAATGGCTTTTTCTATATTTGCAAGCTCTTAATGGAATTCAGGAGCAACCCAGAGACTGTAATTTTGTTTTTTTTAACAGGATGGAGATGATCTTCGTCAGGATATGCTTGTTCTGCAAATTATTCAAGTGATGGACAATATCTGGCTGCAAGAGGGCCTGGACATGCAAATGATCATTTATAGATGTCTGTCCACGGGAAAAGGCCAAGGTCAGTATCGATTACAGAGCTGGTATACTTGTATTATTTGTCTCATATGTTTATTGGTAAAATGCCACCAATTTCCATAGCTTTTACCTTAGAATATGAGTTCAAAACTCCAGAGAATAACACATTTTTAAGGAAATTACTTTTAAAAATTGATAAACCAAAAATAATTTATACAATGAGACAAAGTCCTTTTAGATATCTGAAAACCCAGAAACTGTGTTGTTCCTTTGCTTGTTTTTAAAGGTGAATTGCATTAACAACTATTTCTCTCTTTTCTTAAGATACTATTAGAAAAGATTACTTGTTAAAGATAAAAATTTATGCCTGTTAGCAAAATTACAAACTTGTAAAATACAAAAAAAAAAATACTATTTAAACAAACTAGAAACCCAAACAGGTAAGCACATATTTTGTCTGACCCATGTTCCATCCTAGGCACTGCATACGATTCCATGAGCACCTCTAATAGCTATCCCTCACTGCCCCCACCACCCCCCCCAAAAGTTGAACTCATTACAACATTACATTGAATAGACAATAATTCCTAAGTTAGCTTATACTAATTTCTTCTATGTTGTCATTGCTGCATAGAATTGTGTTAACTGGTACTAAGGCCATGTATTCTTTTCATTCAACAAAGCTACAGTTTTAAAGTTTTTGTTTTTGTTTTAGGGCCATACCTAGTGCTTCAGTGCTTACTCCTGAATCCGCACTCAAGCCTCACTCTTGGTAGTGCTCAGGGGACCATATAGGATGTCAGGGACCGAATGCAGGTCGGCGTGTGCATGGCAAATGCCCTACCCACTGCACCATCTCTCAGGTCCCCAGAAATAAAGTTTAAACCACAAAATATGAAAGTTAGGACTGGTTGCTCCCCCAGTTCTGGGGTCCCACCAGGATGCAAAGTATTCTGGCCAACTGTGAGTGAGAGTTTAGAAACTAGAGCATGGAAGCTTCTTTTCTTAATTAGCTCAACTTACAATTTAATACTTTACAGTGAAGGATTTCAAGTCAACTACCCAATTATTTCCATAGTGGTAACAGAGCTCTTGCTTCCACACCAAGAATCCCACCTCTGTCACTTTTTCTGAATTTCTCATTTCTAAGAGCCTTTTTATCATAGCTACTCTATTATTTTCCTTGAGTTTTCCTCTTTTTCTACATAAATGACCTAATTCTTTCACACCCCTAAGGTGTTAAAAGAGCAAAACTAAAGAGTCACACTAGACTTTTTGATAGCACATGGATTTACCTTTTCTTTAGAAATTGAATGCATCGCTGACCTCAGAGAAATCTTTCAATTCCATCCTCAAACATTATAATCATTTATAAATTCATTTCTCAGTTTATAGACTATAACAACCTCAAATCTTTTAAAGTTTATAAACCTATTCAGCATGAATAGCTTTAAATTTGCCCAAAGTTGCAGATGTCATAAAATAAGCTATGTCCCTCCAGTATTCATACACTATGATTGTTAGATTTCAGAAGCAAAAGAGAGAGAGAGAGAGAGAGAGAGAGATCATTGGGCTAGTGAAAGAGTGCAGTGCTCTTGCCTTGATGTGATGACCCCAGTTCGATCCTAGGTTCCACTCACAGTCTCTTGAATATTTGCAGGAGTTATAGCTGAACACAGAGCCAGAAATAAACCCTGAGCATTGCCTGGTATAGCCCCAACTACCCTATCCCCCAAAAGACAGAAGGAAAAATAAATATAGTTAATGCAAAATAGTTTCATTCTTAATTAGGTCAAAGCCTTCTTGATTATCTACTGTTCTTAAAAATTGTCATAGCATCACAAATTAAATTTCTCTCCTTACTTTCTGCACGTATACTCCAAGGATAGAAGTTTATTATTGCTGATTAATAAATGAACTAATAACAAATTAATTAATTAAGTCACCATTAATTCTGATTAAAAATCTTGTGACTGTTTTATATATGTTGTTTCAGGAACTTTAGGGAAGACCGTCTGGGCTAAATAATTCAATAAATAAACCTCCTCGGGGTCATTTCCTTGCTGGTTCTCCAATCTGATGTATTAAAAATTCCATAAAGGTGGGCTAGAGAGATAGCATAGTGAACAAGGCACTTACCTTGCATGTGGCAAACCTAGGTTCAGTTCCTGGCACCCCTCAAGCCCTTCCAAGAATGGCCCCCTAGTGCAGAGCCAGAAATAAGTCCTAAGCAGCATTGGATATGACAAAGAGAAAACGAAAAGAAACATGAAAACCAACTCCATTAGGGAATGGAATAGCAGCTAGGCCCCCTAAGCAGACAAACTCAGTCAGGCTATCACTTCCAAGGGACTCAGTGACTGCATGAAGCTGCTCTAGGGTTTCGCCTGCACTTCTGTTTAAGACCTCTGTCTTATATAAAACAATTTTGAACAGTTTGGGGAAGAACTTTTCTACAGCGTTGATACTCTTGGGGAAGCTCACTGGAAATGCATCACCTCAGGCCTGCCGTCTCTAGCAACCTACCTCTTTACATGATTCACCAAGTGACAAACAATGTGGTATAAAATTTGAGTACAACTGCATTAAAGGAGCATAAAATTAGAATAGAAACATTTCTCATTATGTACATAATTATGTTAGAATCATTTTCAGAGGTCTATGAGGGCTGCCTAGGGAGATAGTACAACATCTACGGTGCTTGCCCGGCACATGGCTGACCAGGGTTTGATCCCAGACATCTAGAGGGTCGCCCAACCACTACTAGAAGTGATTCCTGAGCACAGACAGGAGCTATTCCAGAGCATTGCCAGGTATGGCCCTGAAGCCTAAATTAGTAAATAAATAAATAAATGTGTGTATGAGCCTCATTAACTTTAAATATATAAAATGCAACTCGGGCTTTAATTAACAGGTATAATTTAGCCACTATGCTTGTTATAAATGAGGTGAAAGGTGTCCTGAGTAGTCAGCAATGCAAGACTATGATAAATGACTTGGAATTTTGCAGAAATTGACTCTCTGAAGACAAAAATGATCTAAAAGGTAACGGACAAAGGCTTGGAGAGATAGTACAAAGGGTAAGGCACACACCTTGTATGCACCTAACCCAGTTCAATCTCCAGGATCCCAGGAATTCTTTTGCGCACCTTCCAAAGTGATTCCTGAGTGCAGAGGCAGGAGTAACTCCTGAGCATGGTGGGGCCCAAAACAAAAACTAAAAAAAAAAAAGTAACTGAAACTATTATAGTTCAGTATCCAAGGGATGCAATAATTTCAGATTATTGCAAACTTTTAGATAACTTTTAGATAGATAAAAGTTTACATAGATAACTCAAACTTAGATACCTCAGATATGAAATGGCCATGAAACACTTTGTAGAAGATCATTTTACATTAGGAAGCATTCAGGGAAGGAACTGAAAAAATAAGGAGGAAAAATGGGGATTAAGAAGAGGAATCATCTATTGATACTAGACAAGAAGTTATCTCACAGAACGCACCAAGGAAAACCTGCACAAGAGCCCAAGAGTATTTGGGGAAGAGGAAAGAGTATCATTATAAACGTTTATGCCCTTAGGACGTGCTTCCTGGGATCCACTTTTTTCTGATCCAGTGATGTTCGAAACAGGACTATTACTAATAGAGATTAAGGCAGCAACCAGCTGCTATGGTCAGATGCAGCACATAGCACATAGGAATGTTTCATTTACCATCACTGAGATCTGCTAGTTTGTTGTTTAATGGGAATATTTGCACTTAATCTCCAAATTTTTTTTTTTTATTGATTGAGATTCTGTAACTTAATATACTATCACGGATGGTATCTCATGTAAAGAATTCCAGCACCACCCCCATCATTAATGGGAATGCTTTGAAGGGAGACCATGAAAACACCTATTTAAGAAAATATGGATGTCAGGGGCACGAGGACATTTGGTACATGTGACCTTCCTGGCCCCTGAACATTGGTATTTTTAAGAATAGCTGAGAAATCTGGTGTTTTGTGTTTGGATCATTTGCAATATACATGTTATATCCACTTGTATGGTCTCTCCTGATCCAGTGATGTTCAAAACAGGACTATTACTAATAAAGATTAAGGCAGCAACCAGCTGCTATGGTCAGATGCAGCACATAGTACATAGGAATGTTTCATTTACCATCACTGAGATCTGCTAGTTTGTTGTAAATGGGAAATTCACTTAATTTCCAAATTTATTTTTTTTATTGACTGAGATTCTGTATGACAAACACGGTAACAACAAGTCTCACGATGGAGATGTTACTGGGCCTGCTCGAGAAAATCGATGAATAACAGGAAGACCGTGACCGTGACTGATTGACTGAGATTCTGTAACTTAATATACTATCACAGATGGTATCTCATGTAAAGAATTCCAACACCACTCACATCATTAATGGGAATGCTTAGAAGGGAGATCATGAAAACACCTATTTAAAAAACATGGAACTCAGGGGCACAAGGACACTTGGCATGTGTGACCTTCCTGGCCCCTGAACATAGGTATTTTTAAGAATAGCTGAGAAATCTGGTGTTTTGTGTTTGGATTATTTACAACATACATTTTATATCCACTTGGATGGTCTCTCTTACACTGTGGCTAAATGCAACAGCTGTTTGTTGACTAAACCACTACCCTGCTGCCTCTGGCAAATCAGCTAGATTGGTTGCTACCATGGTTCTAGAAAATAAATAAATAAATAAATAAAGGTGGGCCAGAGAGATAGCACAGGGGCGAAGTTAAATACTTTGTATGCAGCTGCCAATCTCTGGTACCACCTGGATTCCCCAGGCAACACTAGGTAAAGCCTCAGATGCCCCCAGCATCTCTGCGGACTTTATACACACAACATTCCAACACCCTCCTCTACACAACCAGTGTTATCCCTCCACTATTATCCTTGTATCCTCCTCATCCTGTGAGGTGTAGTCCTGGAGATCCCAAGCGCCAGTGTATTGGCCCAGGTAATGCCTGGCACTGCAAGGCCCCATTAACACCATACCGTTGGGTTCTTCCACTGAACCACCAGCAGGCTAAGACTTGTGGACGTAGTACCATAGACCCCCTGAATACTACCCAATTCTGTTTTAAATTAAAGCTTCTTCTGATAGGTCTGATCCAAATACAATAAAGAGCCTCATTGCTCATCAGAATTTAGGGGAAATGAAAAGGAATGCCCTCTAGGAAGACATCCTTAAGGAATAAAGGTTTGGGAAGGAAAAATGTAAACCAAGTAATGCTGACAACTATGTACTGAGACATGTATCTCTCACCCTGTAAAGGTAAGATTGCTCACACGCTCAGATTACTAAGCAGTGGGGGGAACAGTGAGGGGAATAAAGAGGTTAACTAGAAACAAGAGAGGGACAGAAATGGACAGATCTGGCCACTTAATGGGGAGATGTATTGCTTTCCAAATCTTTCATTTTTTTCAATTGTTTTCAATTTTATTTTATTCAAATTACTGTGCTTTACAATTTTACAGTATTGTCAATGGTAGGGCTTCATGCATACAATAGTCCAACACCACCCCCACACCCATCATTATTATCCCTCCATTATTACCCGTGAATCCTCCTTCATTCACTTTTCCCCACCCCAAACTCCACCTTTTCACCCTCCCCTGTGTCTCTCTGCCATGGTGAGTTCCATTCCCATAAACAAGTTCTTAGTTCTGTAACTTTTGGTAATTTGTTATTCCAGATACGAAAGAAATCATTCTGTACCTATCCCCCTCCTGGCTGACTTCAATCAGCTTGATTCCCTCCAGTTCCAACTATGTAATGTCAAATTGCATGATTTCATCTTTTTTTATTGTCAAGTATTCCATTGTGTGTATGTCCCATGGTTTCTTAATCTAGTTAACTGCTCTTAGGCACTTGGGCTGTTTTCAGAGTTGGGCTATTATGAGTAATGCTGCAAAAAAAAAAAGAGGAAAAATGTCTTTCTTGAATAGAGTTTGGGGACCCCTGGGAAATGGAAACACATCTCTGTTCAAGGATTGAAAGGATCAATATTGTCAAAATGACAAGTCAATCCAGAGCACTATAAAGATGCAGTACAGTCCCTATAAAAATGCCCATTGCATGTTTTAAAATACATCAACCTAGTGCTGCTGAAATCCAGATGGAATGATTGAACTCCATTAATAGCTAAAGCAATCCTAAGGGGGGAAAAAGAGGGGAGGCTCCCCCAGTCACTGTCCACTTTAAATTACACTACAAAGCTATAGGAATCAAGACACTGTGGTACTGAATAAAGATAAACTCCCAGACCAATAAAATTTCCTGGGAATCTGTCTTTACACCCTCGGGCAGAAAGTTAGAAAATCTTTGATGAAAGAGAAAAGAATATTAATTGGAGCTATGGAATTCCCTTCAACAAATGGTTCTGGGAAAACTGGTCAGTTGCATGTAAAAAGGAAACTCAGACCCCTGTCTCCAACCACACACAAAAGTCTATCCAAACTGCATTAGAAATAGCAACATTCAATCTGAATACATAAACTATCTTGAGGAACACATAACAAAACCTTTGGTTACATAGAATTTAAAAGTATCTTCAATGATTCAATGCCATTGGTCAAGGAAATTGAAATAAAGATTTTTTTTAATAGGAATGTATAAAACTAAAAAGCAGCTGAAGCAATAGCATCAGCGCTTGCTGGTAGGCTGTTTGCCTTTTTATTTATTTATTTATTTATTGAATCACTGTGGGAAAGGTTACAAAGCTTTCAGGTTTAGGTCTCCGTCATGCAAATATCAAACACATTTCCCTTTACCAATACTTATTTTTTACCATGAAGAACCCCAATAAAACCCCACCACCCACCCCTCCCAGTCCCTGTGAGGTAGATGAATTCTAGTTAACACTCTATCTGCTTTGATTAGATTCATTGTTTCAATAAAAGATTCACCACTATTATTTAGAGTTTACCCCCCCCAAAATCAGACATGCTGAAAAAGCATTGCGAAGTGATTTGCTTTCTACAGCTGGGTTCAAGAATTAAATGTTGGTTTTGGATTTCTGCTATTTTACCTATTGACCCTGGAAGTATTTCTACTGAAAGTCAGTTAAGAAATTGGTTTCTGTGTTCTGGAGTCGTGGCCGTGCTGGAGAGCCGCTCGTGGGGGGCAACTGGTGGCCTCGGTAGGGCATGAAGGGCGGACTGGAACACCCCCCTTCCCATGAGGTTTTAGTCGCCCCCACACCCCCAGCTCATACTTGCTGTCCACAAGGCTCCCATGCGGCCGCCATCTTTCTTTCCAGAGGAGAGGGCGAATGGGGCAACACCCTTTCCCCTCCAGCAGACTTGATGGCCTGGATTAACGCATAGTCCATTCACTTTTCTGCTTCAAGCTGCCGGGTTCTGCATTAAGTCCTTGTGCTTCTGGGGCCGTGGCTGTGCTGGAGAGCCGCTCGCGGGGGGCAACTGGTGACCTCGGTAGGGCGTGAAGGACGGACCGGAACGCCCCCCCGACCTATGAGGTTTTAGTCGCCCCCACACCCCCGGCTCATACCTGCTGTCCACAAGGCTCCCATGTGGCCGCCATCTTTCTTTCCAGAGGGAGGAGGGCGGAGGGAGCAACACCCTTTCCCCTCGGGGCAGACATGATTGCCTGGATTAACGCATAGTCCTTTCACTTTTCTGCTCCAAGCTGCCGGGTTCTGCATTAAGTCCTTGTGCTTCTGGGGCTGTGGCTGTGCTGGGGAGCCACTCGTGGGGGGCAACTGGTGATCTTGGTAGGGCATGAAGGATGGACCATAACGCCCCTCTTCCCATGAGGTTTTAATCGCCCCCACACCCTCGGCTCATACCTGCTGTCCGCAAGGCTCCCATGTGGCTGCAATCTTTCTTTCCAGAGGGAGGAGGGCGGAAGGGAGCAACACCCTTTCCCCTCCGGCAGACTTGATGGCCTGGATTAACGCATAGTCCGTTCACTTTTCTGCTCCAAGCTGCTGGGTTCTGCATTAAGTCCTTGTGCTTCTGGGGCTGTGGCCGTGCTCCAAACTTAACTCTGATTTTCAGGGAGAAAGGTTGGGTGGTTTACTTCCCATTGATCACTTTGTATGTAGAGAGAAAGAGTTGAGAAAGGGTTTTGAGAAAGAGTCCTAGTTCCCACATACTCGAGCTGTGCTTGTAGAGGCTTCTGGTCACCGGGGTTCCATCTGGGGGAGGCGGGATGCGGTACCTACCCCATCTGGGACTTGCTGGTGCTCTTGGCTCTTTTTGGAACCTGTTTTTTTTGTTTTTTCTTTGGGAGCTGTGGATCCCCGCCCTCCATGTGGTCCTTCTCTTAGGCTGTATGTTGTAAAGATGGCGCTGGGGGGCGGGCTGTGGGCATGACTTCCGGAATCAGAGGTTACCTGGGAGCTGTAGTCCCGGCAGATTTGAGAAAAAGTCCTAGTTCCCGCATACTCGAGCTGTGCTTGTAGAGGCTTCTGGTCACCGGGGTTCCATCTGGGGGAGGCGGGATGCGGTACCTACCCCATCTGGGATTTGCCGGTGATTTTGGCTCTTTTTGGAACCTGTTTTTTTTTTCCCTCCGGGATCTGTGGTTCCCGCCCTCCATGTGGTCCTTCTCTTAGGCTGTATGTTGTAAAGATGGCCTAGGGTGTTTGCCTTGCACGCAGCGAACCGGGTTCAATTCCCAGCATCCCATATGGTTCCCTGAGCACCGCCAGGAGTAATTCCTGAGTGCAGAGCCAACAATGCTTAGAATAAAAAGATAACCCCAGACTGGGAGAAAATATTTGCCTAACACACATCCATCAAAGAGTTACTAGACAAGACATGTAAAGCATTGGTAAAACTTAACAATCAGTTATCAACTCTATTCAAAACTGGAAAGAGGAAATGATCAGAGACTTCCTGAAAGACATACAGCTAAACACTACGTATATAGAGAAAACGCTCTGCATCACAAGTCACCAGGTGTCTTTCTGAACCACAGGTTTGGTGCAAATGGTGCCTGACGCTGTAACCCTTGCAAAGATCCATCGCCACTGTGGTCTCATAGGCCCACTGAAGGAGAACACAATTAAGAAGTGGTTCCATGAGCACAACCCTTTGAAGGCGGACTATGAAAAGGTTTGTCCGGCTGGAGTTCATTTTAAATAATGTACTTAACTAAGAATATGCTCTGGTTCATTAAGTGCTATGATTAATGAAAAGTAAATTGAGTGCACCTTGAGTTCTAATTCATTTAGTCATCAGCCTAATAATAATGACTCCATTAGAATGGCATAGTAATGAGGTGAAAATGCCTGAGTTGGGCTTTCCTTCTGGGTGAAATTCTGGGCTGTCATTGAAGATTTCTTGGCCCAGATGTTTCCCTTACAACTCTAGTTCCTCAGATGATGCTCCGTAGGCTGCATTTCTCAAGTCAACTTCGGATTTTCACCTCATCTCTGATTTCCATCAAAATCCTCCCACCTTTGTAAGGCATTTCTTCTGTGATAATCCACATTGCCGTGCCTGGTTCCTTCAGCATTTTTAGAATGTGTAATAAGAATTTTTATGTTTTGCACATCAGAATTCAACAAAGTGTTCTCTATAACTACATCTTTCCCACATTACTGTCTCCTGCATCTGGCCTACGGTGCATGGTTGTACAGGTACAGCCCTCAGATAAGGGGATCAGTATGGGCTATTGCCTGACCTGGTTCCACTTACAATACTTGAACCAGTATAGCTGTCACCACCCAGATGCACCTTTAAGCTAATACACTGAGATGCAATATGGACCAGCTGGGATCTGACAAAGCCACCATCTGGGAAAATTCTGTCCTGAACACCAGAATAAATGGCTGTGCTTTCTCGTAAGGGCGATAATAAAGAGACCCAGAGGTCCTATTCCAACTCTGAGTTTGGTGTGATGAAAAAAAAGCAAGCTTTGGGAAGACAAATAGCAAAGAATCAGAGGAGATTATCCTGAAATCTTTTCATCCAAAAGTGTGACTTGAGTTTTGCACAAATTTCTGGAGGTATATCACCTGAGGTGCTTCTACAAATATTTGCTCTTCACAAACACCAGGGGAAGGACCCACTTTATTATCTTTACTATCTGAGTGAAGAACATCATGCAAAATTAAGTGACTTGCTCAGGCACTTGGGAGAGCAGGAATAGGGGTATCCTGACATAACCCAGTGACACAGAGTTCTGCTCTAGTAAATCAACACACCATTCCTAGAAGAATTTAACTGTGGCTGAACCAGTGTCACTTATTGTCACACTTTCATTATTACCAACAGTTTTAACTCTGAGGAAATTGACTTACACCTAGGACACTATTTTGAAAACAAAGCAATTATGGCAAGAAACTTCAGTTTATTAAAGACGCATAAGTGACAACTGACTTAGTGCTAATCTGCTCCCAGCTAGACATTCTGGTGATATGGGAATTCACTGATAAATACTGAAACAAAACACTACTGGAAATTTACTGAGTGAATTATTTGTAAGAATAAACCCAAAATATTAGGAATATTTCAATATAGCTTTATTTTTCTGTGTTCAAAAATTGAGATATTTAAAAAATTTATCTTGGAGCTCAGCCATTTGTGGGGGGGGGGGAGGAAATGAGTTCCATGACTAGTTCTTCCATGACTAGTTCCAAGATTTCACCTTGCAACATAGAGAGACCCCAAAGTGCTCCCAGGTTTGACTATGATGGTCCTCAATATCACTAGGCTTGAACTCTGCTTCGTTTATTCCAAAGGGCCCACCACCACTGTATCCAACTGTCTAAGCATCAGAGAGTAGCCTGATCTCTGGAACACTGCTAGCAGTGGAACTGGTCTTTCATTTTTCTCTGAAACTTAGAGTACTGGATTATATTTTTCTTCTTTCTCTGCTTATAAAAACAATCACTCAATATTGTGAATCAGAGATGTCAAAAATCACATCAGGAATCCTCTCCAGTCAATTATGAAAAAGAATGCCAGCAAAATGAAAGTGCTCTTTTCCTGGAGTTCAGTGAAAACATAAATTCTATTAGGCAAAGAACTGATTGCTTTGTTCTTTTGCTACATATCAAGAACCATCCATTTAGCCATAGCCTAATCTCCACTGAGATGTGGAAACTTGATTAAGTAATTTTGCTTTTAATACATATTTTTTTTTTGCTATTGCCTTTGACGCTAATGCATTTCCTTTATGTGTATGTGTGTGTCTGAATTTTTTTCTTTTAACTTTTCAAATGATTAGGCCCTGAGGAACTTCTTCTATTCCTGTGCTGGATGGTGTGTGGTGACATTCATTCTGGGAGTCTGTGACCGTCACAATGACAATATCATGCTGACAAAGTCAGGCCACATGTTCCATATTGACTTTGGAAAGTTCTTAGGCCATGCACAAACATTTGGAGGGATAAAAAGGTCAGTGAACAAATGATGTTTATTATGGTAATTAATGTCCTAGAGAAAACTATAACATGCAACAGCATAGAAATCCAATAATTGATTGGCTAGATATGAAAAATTCCCACATTTCCAATATCTCTGAGAATTACAGAAATTTGAGAATACAAATTCTAAGAAGACTGAAGAAAATAATTTCTTCAAGAGATTTTTAAAGAAACAAATTAGGTTTCTAACAACTATTGGTGAAATAAATTGGTCTTGCCTGGGGTACTAATCTTGTTCTAGTCTTAACTAAAATATGTAATATTTGGTTTTACATATAAATTTCAAAAGGACAATGAGACATGAGTTCATTGCATCAATACATGTGAAATGTCACTCATTGCAACATGGTCTATAGGTGATAAAACTTGCACAGTTTCTGTGAAAATATTTAGTGAGAACATACTATTTTAACAATATTTAATGAGCACCTATCATTTGGGGAACTCAGGAAACATAGGAAACCAGGCAGATATAAGCCTGGAGCACTTTCTACCAAGAAGAGAAAACATTAAACAAATTAGCGAGCAAAGAAACAATATAAGGAAGGAGGTGTTTGATTTGTTTCCACGTAAAGACAAACTGGGCACAGAAACGGGCCACAAAACCACAGGGGCAGGATGCTATTTTCAAGAGATTTCTGGGAGAGATGAGAGAAATCTGTGCAGTGATCCCCTGCAGAGTGCTCTGAGAGGAGTACTCCAGGGAGCAAAAAGGGCAAAAATAAAGACCATTAGATGAAGTATGGCACTTCTAGTAACAGTGAATCCTGGTTTGGAGGTGGAATTAAAAGCTGTAATAACAGGAGGTAAAAGGAGAAACATTTGGTGAAAGTCAGATCAAGGAGGACTGGAAGGCATAGTATGGGAGCTGCTGTTTTTTTCAGTTTTGATCAAATATTTTTATTTATTTTGGGCTGGAGTGAAGACACAGAGGTAGGGCGTTGGTCTTGCACGTGGCCGGCCTGGCCGACCTGGGTTCGATTCCTCTGCTCCTCTTGGAGAACCCAGCAAGCTACCGAGAGTATCTCGCCCGCATGGCAGAGCCTGGCAAGCTACCCATGACATATTCAATATGCCAAACACAGTAACAACAAGTCTCACAATGGAGACCTTAGTGGGCCTACTCGAGCAAATCGATGAACAACGGGAGGACAATGCTATATGTAGTGCAATTTTTGTTGAAAATTCTTGCTCTTTATTTCTTTTGTTATTTTATTTTTATTGAATCACTGTGAACACAAATTTACAAAGCTGATCATGGTCTGGTTTCAGTCATAGTCTTCCAACATCTGTTCCTCTACCAGTGTACATTTTCCACCACCAATGTCCCCAGTTTCCTTCCCTCCTCCCCCCTCCCCCTGCCGTTTGCCTCTGTGCTCTGTGGCAGACACCTTTATTCTTTCTTTCTTGCTCTCTCTTTCTCTTTCTCTCTCCCTCCCTCCCTCCCTCCCTCCCTCTCTCCCTCCCTCCCTTCCCCCATCCCCTCTGGGGCATTATGGTTTGCAATACAGCAGTTATAATGTTTGTTCCTTTACCTGTTTTCTTCTTGACATTCTTAACCAGCTTTTTACAGTCAGATAAGAGCCACTTATGAACTTCAAATGGATTTCCAAGTATTCTTCCTTTCCTGTGAAGGAATGGGTCTGATTAGGGCACTACTGCAATAGTTAGGGCAAACAGTAATAGGAAAGAAGTGGTGAAAACAGACATATTTTGGTTATATTTTAGAGTCATAGGATCTATTCATTGACTATGTTGGCAGTAATTAATGGGTCAGGAGAGGGAGGAGACTCACAGGCAGGAGACAAAAGATAACTTTCAAGGATGACCTCTGAACCTGGTCTTAACAATTAATTATGCCACTTACTGAAACAGGACTGGTGGATGTATAATTTTGTTTTATTTCAATTGAATGAAAGCAAGCAAGGAGGCCAAAAGTTCAATCCTAAAAGTCCCTAGCTTTAAAAAAGATTCTTTATATTAAAGTAGAATAGGATCCAACCATTCTAAAGGTTGGTCAGCCACTTTTAGCTAAAAACAGCTTCTCTATGTAAGATATTATTATGTCTCCTCTATTACAAATAGGTGAACTTTTACCAGATGATTGTGATCTGGTATTTAAATGCCAACATAAAGTCTATAATATGGCTTAATTATTAAAAATTTGATATCTCTCATTTTGTAGAGGACATACATATGTAATTTCTTTGCTTTTCATTTCTCTCAATATATTGCCTTCTTCATGAATTGGCTTCTGTCCTGATTTTTATGCAGTCACTCATTTATTCCTTAAGCATCCATTGAGACTGGTTTGGGCCTGGGACTATAATAAACCAGAGAGATGCAAAGATGAATAATACACATTTAACAAACATCTCAGTGGGGCTTATTCTTTCTTTAAAATGCTATAAACATTGACCGCAGATAATTATTATAAAATTTCTAAGGAAAGAGATAGAAGAACAGGCCATGAAAACATTCTAGAGAACAGATAAGATAAATGTTAATTAATGACCTGAACGTAAACATAGTCATTTGACATATTTTCTATAATCCAGTTTCCAGGAGTTTAAAGATTATATTATAATTATGACATCTTTATGTATTTACTGTGTTGTCATGTCCACTGGGAATGTGAATGAATCCTGTTTATTTATTCGGTCAGCAACTGGGTTGGCCAGGCTGGGTGGTTAAAAATGAAGAACAAAAAACCCCAGTTCTAGTAAAAACGTTTCAGTTGACAATATGTAAGAAGTAAAAAACAAGTTATTAAACAATACAGCTAGTACAGTATTACAGGTATCTACCAGAATCTATGGAAATGAAGCATTCAATTTCTTTGTTGATCACAGGCGTAATTGATGCCTTTCCAGTTTTGTCAGTTTTCTTTTTTTTCTCTTATGTAACCTTGAAGATAAATTAAAATGTGCTCAATGGAAACCTAATTCATAGCAAACTCTTTTTTTAAAAAATTATTTTTAATTTTTTTTTCTTGGATCGCACCTAGCAATGCTCAGGGGTTACTCCTGGCTCTGCATTCAGGAATTACTCCTGGTGGTGCTCATATGGGATGCTGGGAATCAAACCTGGGTCGTCTGCATGCAAGATAAATGCTATACCCATTGTGCTATTGCTCCAGCCGCTCACATGAAGGTACCTGCAGAGGAACAGAGGCACGCGGGTCCCGGGGCTAAGATCTCCAAGCCTACTTGGATCAGAGCTGAGTATCCTCCACCCAGATCCTTCAAATTCCAGAAGGCGGGGGTCACACCCACCAACTGGCCTCCTGGCGCCGTGTAATCCCATCAACGGCCAAGACTCAGAGACTATAAAAACCAGCTCCTGAGAGCATGCGGCCGCATTCCGGCCACGTGACATCTTATCATCTCATTCCTACTTTGGACAAACTGGCAGGCTACCGAATGTAACCTGCCCACACGGCAGAGTCTGGCAAACTTCCCGTGGTGTACCCAATATGCCAAATACCAGTAACAATGAAGGGTCTCATTCTCCTAACTCTGAAAGAGCCTTGAATGTGGCAGTTTTTAAAAAAATCTCAGGGCTAGGACGAAGGAGACGTTACTGGGGCCTGCTCGAGGCAATCGATGAATAACAGGATGGTTGTGTTGTTGTGATTTTTAATTTTATAAAGTAGCTCACAATATTTGATTACATTTAATATTCGAACAAATCCCACCACCATTACACCTCCCTATCACCATAATTCAGGTGTTTCTATCCTGAACTCCAACTCCTGCCCCAATGCAGAACCAAAATCATTTGTTTCATGTTGTTTGTTCATAGAAAACTCTTAATACTGTTTGCTAAATCAATCATACAACCAGTCATGCACAAAAAAACCCTTAACCATGAGTTATTGATTGGATAAATAAAAAGTTGGTTGGTACTGTGTTCGATTGAGATTACTGGTTGCCAGTAACCAACTAAGGAGGTCAACTATAGCTTCATGATTGATTTGGATTCTTGTTTCCCTGGTTTTATCTCCATCAGACTCTGAGACTCACTGGCAGCTTCTCCTTGGCTTGCTTTCTTGATACTGTACCATTGCCCTGAGGTGTCTAATGGTTAAAGTGTGCTATGCCTTTTCCCTATTATTCATTCTACCTTGAGTAAAATGCAACATATAATAATTTCCATTCAAGGTCCTTTTAGATGATTCTGGATTCCACTGAATGCTCTTTCATAAGACTGCTTGCTTCTTGTATCCACGGTTCAGTGGTTGTTCTAATTAGCTGCTAGGTGGGCAAAAACACATTTTATAAATCGGGTCTCTGTAACCCTTAGGATAATTAACATACTTTTTGTGCTATATTTATTAGGTTATATACCTAGTCTTTAGAGGAAACCCAGCTCTATTTACCTTCTATGCATATATTAAACATTAAAAAGCATAATGTATTACATTAGGTATATGAATCCTGCCTTAAGATTATGCTAATCTCCTATAGAAGAGTAAGGCTATTTAATGATGGGAAATTAACCACTAATAACCCAAGACTACACTACTTAATATTAAAAAGTATACCTATTGGGAATGTAGAGATTGTGTATCAGATGTATTTTTATTTTCTACCCCTTAGAAACATGGGGAGGTGGAAACATTTGTATAACTTTTAAAATTTAGCAAAGTTTTATTAGTACATATCAATTAATTTCACTTTATAAGTTGAATTGCCTCCAAAAGAGTACAGTTTTCGATTGTGGATGGGTTGTGAGTTTGCAAATAAAGAAATCTCACAAGTAGGCCCTTTCTCTAAATTACTGGTTTGCTACTTAGCAAAAGATAAAGGCATTATCAATGAAAATTAGCAAGTCAACAGATCAGAAGCAGATATAGTACTTTAGAGTATAGAGTTTCATTTGACCATTGAGTCCTTAACAATAAAAGAATTTTGTTGGAGGGTATGTTGAATCCTATGTATGTGTAGAGGTATCAAGCTATAATCTTAA